AACTATTATAATACTAAATATTTTTAATATATGCTTCCCAAATGCTTGAGTAACTCAACTATTATAATACTAAATATTTTTAATATATGCTTCCCAAATGCTTGAGTAACTCAACTAGTATAATACTAAATATGTTTGATATATGCTTCCCAAATGCTTGAGTAACTCAACTATTATAATGTTTAATATATGCTTCCCAAATGCTTGAGTAACTCAACTATTATAATACTAAATATGTTTAATATATGCTTCCCAAATGCTTGAGTAACTCAACTAGTATAATACTAAATATTTTTAATATATGCTTCCCAAATGCTTGAGTAACTCAACTATTATAATACTAAATATGTTTAATATATGCTTCCCAAATGCTTGAGTAACTCAACTAGTATAATATTTTGTCACTTAAAAATAAAATTGGATATTGAAATATATAAAAATAATAATCTATTACCTGTATGCACGAGCACCTCAATAATATATGAAGCAGACATGTAAAACATTCATGTTATCACAGACCATAATTGTTTATTTTACCAACCTTAGTCCATACAATATCTACATCGATTTAAAAACAGTTTCCGTGTTTTGCATTTAAAGAAAGTAAAGTTTTTCCAAATAGTTGTAATGCTTTAGTCTTTATCTATCAATACTTATCAAAATTGCACATGTTTCAACAACTCATAAGAAACATCTACTTATTTTTACGAATTAGATTTATGCAACTCTTCGATTATAGAATGCCTTTGTTTAGCCTGATTTTACACAGCTTTCGTATAACACATATAACTGTCTTTGTTCCTTTGTTGTTCTCTAGAGATAATACCTGCTTTGTCTTTAGAGGGTATTGCTGTAATGCTGCACGTAATCCTTCACTGGTAGGGCATATGATATCCAGAGGTTACGGCTTCTCTATGTTGGGTGAGAAAGGCCAACCACTTGGATAACACTAGTCACTATAGGTAAATCCGACATTACATTTAAACAGTCTACACTAGATCTCAAGTGAGTTGGTTGACATCTTGAAAGAAGAAAATCTGTTGATCAATTCACAAGTCTAGTTACAAGGACACTATCCAGTATCCAGAATGAGTCTCCGCGTAGAGCTGTAGAATGGGTGTGAATAGTAATCATGGAATACGAGTAGATATTATCTATATGAGAATGTACATAAGAATTTTCTGAACAATTCATGCTGCAAATATATATTATTTTATACATTTATGTACGTATATTTACATAAAACATAAGCGTAGAGCATTTATCATGTAAGTTATTTGGCAGACCTATTTTACGGTTCTTTTGTAACCTTATATTCGAGAATAAGAAGAATCAAGTCAATGAAAGTGCTATGTGAGTAAATAACCTTCGCAAAAAGGACACTCTCTACTGGATAAGGCCATTCAGTTATTACCTACATTTAAAATGTTTAAGTGTATTCCTTTACAATGCTAGCAAGAGATGGCGTTACATATGTCGTAGCGGTTTAGTACTTTCAATTATCTCAACAGCTTGTTGTTTTTTAATAACAGCAATGACAGTAAAACTTTTGAATGAAAATTAATGTTGTATTTTTAATGATTTATACATAACCTGAATTAATTCGATAATTGCCAAAACAATGAAATCCAAATGTATTGGTCTGATTTTTATGATAATGCTAATTATATTTCAGGAGTTGCAACTGTCTGCAATTTGAACATTTGAAACTATATCGATTAATATTAGCTTGTCTTCGCCGCTGTTTCTTTCAATTTCCATTAAAGTAATGCACCTCGAGCTCGTTTTTTTTTAACTGAAGAGGATATTCTGTGGAAAGTTGTTTGTGAACGTGGGCCAAGCGTAGCCTCCTAGTTAGCGTGCCGGGCTGCCGACCTCTTGGTCTGGAGTTATCATTATTCAATTTAACAAAGCTCCTGTTGTTGCAGGAGCTGTTGGAATGATTCAGTAATTATAGACTACTAAACGTGAATCCTGTAGGGTTCTCTTACCCGGCCGTTTAGCTTAGGTGCGCATAAGGTGCGTTCAGGGTGAAAATTCTAATTCTAGTGTATATTTTTAGAAATAAAAATTTCATCACTTGTATAGAAGTATGTGGCAGATTGACGGGATGTGTTTGTATGTGGTCTTTTCAAGGAAACTGAACGGCAAGTAAGCATTAAGTCTGTAAAAAGAGGGGGTTACTGGTATTCAGAGCATGAGGAAAGAAAGTGACACAAATGTTTCTCTTTGAAATAAAGAAAACACTTTATTAAAACAAAAGCGAATGACTTAGTGGTAGTCTGGATTATTAAAAAGTGCTTGACTAACAGCTACTAGCTGGTAAATTATTTAGCTTGATTAGGAGAGCACTTGCCTGGTGTACGAGAATTCTTGGATTAAAAAACTGTACTAAGATTTTGAACAACTATATGAATTAAAATTAAGGGCGCTCGGCTCGCAATTTGAGGGTCGCGGGTTCGAATCCCCGTCCCACCAAACATGCTCGCCCTTTCAGCCGTGGGGGCGTTATAACATGACGGTCAATCCCACTATTCGTTGGTAAAAGAGTAGCCCTAGAGTTGGCGGTGGATGGTGATGACTAGCTGCCTTCCCTCCAGTCTTACACTGCTAAATTAGGGACGGCTAGCGCAGATAGCCCTCGTGTAGCTTTGCGCGAAATTCAAAACAAACAAACAAAAAATTAATTAAAAATACATTTATATTTTAAGTTATGGAAAGGTTTCGCTACGTTAACTACATGCCACAAAAGGTAATCCAATTACCAGGTTATTTAAAAAATAAATAAATGTCTATATTTTGTTCTTGACGCATTTACTCATTTAAAATCAAATACTACAAATATATTCACAAACTACGAAACCACAAAACTTACTAACTTAATATTTAGCTTTAACAGAGAATCGTGAAGCAACAATCCTCCAATATAAAACTGAATGGAAATTTTAAATCACAAAAACTACTACACAAGTACATATGTTAGGTTTTTCGAAACATGTTCGTAATTATTTCTATTATCATTAAACACTATCGTTTTTATTTAAAAACAAGTATTAACTCTAAGCCTAATCTCCTATTTATTTGAAAAACTTAAATAGAAATATGATCGCGACATCTAGCGTTTTATCACAAATAAGTAATCTATTTGTAGCTGACATTTAAAAGACCAGCCGATTGCTCAACAACTTCCAAAGAGAGTTTGTGGAATTGTTCTCGAAAGTTGACGGTGTAATGTTGTAACGGCAATAACTGAAGAAATGAGTCTAAAATGATGTAATAACAACAGAGTTTACACAGTTACGCTTGTCACAAGTGTGTACAACAGTCACTGTTTGTACTTTGTTGACATTACTCTGTGCAGAACATGGTGTGTATCGGTACTAACCGTGTACGGGTTTACTGGACAAACACCTGAATATCGCTGAAGACAACGAAACAAGGGCGTTTTAAATAAAGTAAAGAAATAAGCTACGTGCATCATTATAACTGGTAAATAAATGTTCAGTTTCCACGTGTACTGAAATTTGACTTTATATTTATATATGTGTGTATGTAGTTAAAAACTCGAAAAGCAAAACTTACTAATCGTTTCACCTGTAATAAAGCCTATTAAATGTTGATGTCATAATTAGGGTTAATGTTATTCTTGATCTTAGAAACACAAACAACTACAGGCTTAAAGATATTTATAAATATTAGAATACTTTTTTCCACGACAACTTGTAATAAAAAGTGTTCCTGTTTACTACAATTAACTGGGTTAGAATTTCATATTTAACGCTACAGGCCTATCCCATTTTTTGTGTGTGTAAGGAACGTTTATAAGTTAGGAGCAGTCTAAGCGTGACGATGGCCTAAAATGTTAAAGTTAAACCATGTCTGTCTGAGGCTACATTTGAACGTTTGGGAAGTTGCTTTTAACAAAACATAAAAATTTAACGTCAGCGACGTGTCATTTTTACATAATCATTTTTTTTACGTATGTTAATTATTTAACTACACGTTTAATCCACAACCATAGGGAGGAATATGAGAAAAGTAACATCTATACACATATGTTTTTAGGCATGCTTATTCTTGCCTTTTTATCTCTACAGACTACAGCAGAAGCTCGGAATCAGTGTAGGAGGGCTGTGATAACTTACACTTTACATTCCTCGAATACAAACCTTCCAAGCGTGTGGTTGAACAATCTTACAAAAATACACACCTTGTTTGTTTTACACAATCTGGCAGTTTATAGTCCACTTGAGTAATGGGGTAGAGTGGCACTCGTCAGTTTTCTTACACATGGAATAAGCAGAAGAAATCGTCTGTTTCGAAATGGAAATGTCACAGAAATTGAATAGGAAAAACTTGCGACTCTGTTATAGCTGTCTGAGACGCGACTTTGAAGACTTGAGCACTATGTTAAAAGCACGAAACTTGCCGTTCAAGATAAGCTAACTACGTACGTTAGAACTAAAAATAATATACAAATTTATATACAGGTAAAACAAAGAGTATGTAATGTCATAACATATCGGAAGAAAGCTTTGTTTGTTTTGGATTTCGCGCAAAGCTACACGAGGGCTATTTGCGCTAGCCGCCCCTAATTTAGCA